GCGTGCCACCCCGGCTGTCCCCACACACCCCACTGAGACCAGGAGCAGCTGAGAACTCCTGTGCCACCAGTGAGGCACAGCCAGAGCCAAAGGAGAAAGGTGAGCATGGAATCATTGAGGTTGGAAAAGACCTCTGAGATCATCAAGTCCAACCCATGACCTAACACCACCATGGCAACTTAGACAAGGATCACCAGTCCAACTCCTGGCACTACACAGGACACCCCAACGATCCCACTCTGTGCCTGAGAGCATTGGCCAAACACTCCTGGAGCTCTGTCAGCCTTGGGGCTGTGCCCACTGCCCTGGGGAGCTGTTCAGTGCCCAAACACCTCTGGGGGAAGAACCTTGTCCCAGTATCTGTCCCAAACCTCCCTGACACAACTCCAGCCATTCCCTGTGCTCGCAGAGAGCAGATTGGTACTTCCTTCCCTTGGGAAGCTGCAGCCCCTGAGGTGTCCACTCAGCCTCTTCTCCAGCTGAGCATCCCATAACCTACATCCTAACAGAACATTTCCACACTGAGTTGGATTCTACTGATGGATTCTTTTCCAAATGCTTCCTAAATGTCCTTTTTTCCCTCTCCCAGAGGAGAGCAGCCCTTCCCCAGTGTTGGTCTTTGCCTCTTCCCCTCGGCCCAACCACAGCTACGTGTTCAAGCGGGAGCCGCCCGAGGGCTGCGAGCGCGTCCGAGCCTTCGAGGAAGCTCTGTGAGTGGGGAAATCCTTGGAAAACACAGCTGGAGCGAGGAGATTCCCAGGGGAGGATGCTGGGAGGGAAGCAGCTGAGGTTCCCTGTGGAAGTAGGGGCTGTTGTGGAAGTAGGGATGAGGCTCCAGGATCAGAAAAGTGCTGCAGGAGATGAGAGCTGAAGGTTGGGGTGATGATCCTCTGTGGTGTTGAGGAGGATCCTGGGATTTCTTGCCCTTCCCAGGGAGTGGGGTTTGCTTGGCTTCTTGAGGGGTGGAGGTGGTTGTCCCAGAAATAAGAGGAGCTGGCTCAGAAATAAAGGGATTTCTCCTAGAAGTAAGAGGATTTCTCCTAGAAATAAGAGTTCTCCCACAAATAAGAGAAGTTTTCCCAGAAATAAGAGTTGTCCTGGAAATAAGAGGATTTCTCCTAGAAGTAAAAGGAGTTCTCCCACAAATAAGAGGAGTTGTCCCAGAAATAAGAGTTCTCCCAGAAATAAAAGGAGTTCTCCCACAAATAGGAGGTGTTCTCCCTATAAATAAGAGGTGTTTTTCTATAAATCAGTAGGTTTTCCTATAAATGAGTGGATTTTCCTGTAAATCCCTGGGATTTCCTCTAAGTCAGTGAGATTTCAGGTGTCCCCCAGCACCTGCTCCCAGATCAGCTCAGCCTCTCCTCAGCCTCCTTGCAGAATCCAACTGTTCCCCCTATTGCTGCTCCATACCCTTGGGAATACCAATCCCTAATCCTGTCTCTGTGTCTCTCCTCAGCATTCCCAGCCCTGCTCAGCCTTTCCAGCCTTCCTGCCCAGACAAGAACAAGGTGCACTTCAGGCCCAGAGGCTCTGCCTTCTGCCCCGTCAGCCTGGCCAGGCCTCTGCTTCCCACCATGGAATTCCTCCTCAGGGGCTTCCCAGCTCCCCCCAGCCCTGCCACAGCTCCCTGCCAGCCCCCAGCTCCCAGCACATTCCTGGGGGGCAGGAAGGACATGGCTGACACCTTCCCTGAGGTATCCAAAGCTCCTGCCCGGAATTGTGATCCCTGGAAGCTTTCCCAGCCAGAGGAGAGTGTTGTTTTCCACAGCTCCCTCGTGGTGTGAAGTCTTTGGGAATGGCAGCACCAGCAGCTCTGACTTCTCCTCGGGGAGATGAGTGCCTTGGAGGTGGGATGTGGCAGCACTGGGGATTGGGAATCGGGGTGGAATTCCTCTGAGGATGACAGACTATGATGGACAATGTGCCACAGACTCCTCACTGCTGGGGGGGCTCATTCCTCACAGCCTCCCTGGCCAAAGCACTTTCCTGTGTTGAATTGTCCTTATTTCCTGTGGGATTCTTTGGCTGGGAAGAGCAGCTGCTGTGGGAGGACAGGCAATCCCTGCTCCATGGCTCTGAGAATGTGGGGGAGCAGGGAGGATCCAGGTGGAGTTTCCCAGCACTCCTCACCCCTGAGGCTGCTGGATTTGGGGATCCCTGGGGAGTGGGAAAGGAGCTGGGAGGATCCAGGTGGAGTTTGCCAGCACTCCTCACCCCTGAGGCTGCAGGATTTGGGGATCCCTGGGGAGTGGGAAGGGGCTAGAATCATGTGTGCATTAACACAAGTCCCACAGAGCACAGGGATCTGTCCCAGAGAGCAGGAGATTCCTGTCTGTGCCTTCCCTTCATCCCTCCAGACCAGCCTGGAGCTTCCACAGATCTTCTTGAAGGAACTTGTGTGGATGAGGATGAAGGATCCATGAGCTGCCTGTCCTGGTTTCCCTGCCCTTCCATGTGCCTTGGCTGTGCTGCAGGAAGAGGGGATGGAAGTGGGATGTGGCAGCACACACAGATCCTGCTCTGAGGGTCAGAACTCCCTGAGCTGTGAGCCCTGGGAGGTGGGGAAGGGTCTGGGACCCTCAGCCTCATCCAGGGTGGGATCTAGGGGGATCTGATCAGCTTCATTCAGGGAGCTCCAGGACCCTCAGCCTCATCCAGAGAGTGTTCAGGACCTTTAGTCTTATCCAGGGGGAATCTAGGACCCTCAGCCTTATCCAGGAGGGGATTTGGGACCATCAGCCTCATCCAAGGGGAGATCTGGGACCTTCAGCCTCATCCAGGAGGTGTCCAGGACCGTTAGCTTCATCCTGGGGGAGGTCCACAACCCTCAGCCTCACCCAGGAGGAGACCTGGGACCCTTGGCCTCATCCTGGGGGAGGTCCAGGTCCCTCAGCCTCTCCAGGGGATAGTCCAGGACCTTCAACCTCATCAAGGGCAGGACTTTGTGTGTATGTGCAGAGTCAGAAGACACTTCCAGCAGCTCAGTCCCACCTGGAGGTGAGGCACTGCCACGGACCAGGGATTGCAAAGGCTCTTCCCAGCCCAAGTTGGATGTTGTGTCCCGTTGCTAAGGCTCTGGGATGGTTTGGAGCCTCCTGTTCTCTTGTACCTGATGTAGAAACTCTATTTTCTTCCAAAGACACTATTTTTGCAGCCGTCTGAGGTTTGTATTTTGTGTCCTGCGAAAGAGAGGAGGAAAAGGTCACTCTGGAGCTCTGTCTCAGTCCAGGAGCTTCTGCACATGCTGGAAATGCCAGTGGGAAGGAAGCAAAATAAATATTTCAGGCATCCAAAGGATTTCTTTGGGATTTAAACCTGGAGTTTGGGGGAGTGCAGCAGGTGGTGAGGGCAGGAACAGGCTGAGAGCCTGAGGCTTCTTGCCAGGGCTACCTGGAAGGTGTTGGGGCTCACCTGAAGGAGTTGGGCTCAGCTGGAAGGTGTTAGGGCTCACCTGGAGGGTGTTTGAGCTGACCTGGAGGGTATTGGGACTCACCTGGAGGAGTTGGGCTCAGCTGGAAGGTGTTAGGGCTCACCTGGAGGGTGTTTGAGCTGACCTGGAGGGTATTGGGACTCACCTGGAGGAGTTGGGCTCAGCTGGAAGGTGTTAGGGCTCACCTGGAGGGTGTTTGAGCTGACCTGGAGGGTATTGGGACTCACCTGGAGGAGTTGGGCTCAGCTGGAAGGTGTTAGGGCTCACCTGGAGGGTGTTTGAGCTGACCTGGAGGGTATTGGGACTCACCTGGAGGGTGTTGGGGCTCACCTAGAGCATGTTTGGCTCACCTGGATGGGGTTTGGGCTCACCTGGAGGGTGTTTGGCTCACCTGGATGGGGTTGGGCTCACCTGGAGGGTGTTTGGGCTCACCTGGAGGTGTTTGGGGCTCACCTGGAGAGTGTTTGACTCACCTGGAGGGGGTTGGGCTCACCTGGAGGGTGTTGGGCTCACCTGGATGGAGTTGGGGCTCACCTGGATGGGGTTGGGGCTCACCTGGAGATGTTTGGGCTCACCTGGAGGGTGTTTGGCTCACCTGGATGGGGTTGGGGCTCACCTGGAGATGTTTGGGCTCACCTGGAGGGTGTTTGGCTCACCTGGATGGGGTTGGGCTCACCTGGATGGAGTTGGGGCTCACCTGGAGGGTGTTTGGCTCACCTGGATGGAGTTGGGGCTCACCTGGAGGGTGTTTGGCTCACCTGGAGGTGTTTGGCTCACCTGGATGGGGTTGGGCTCACCTGGGCCCCCGCGGGACCCTCCGGGCGGCTCCGGGCAGCCCCGGACGGAGAAGCGATGGCGGCGGCACTAGGACCCAGCGCCGGCCGCGTCGCTCTGAGCCCCCACCAATCAGCTCCCTC